ATTAATCATCTAAGAGACCCCTTTCTGCATTTCAACAGCATGGCTGGTGCTAACCTCCAACCTAATTGCACGTTCTTCGGCTAATATTCTTGGCTGAAATGGAAAGATTATATTGAATCAATTGCTAAAAGGTTGGTTCACTGTGTTTTGCTAGACAATTGTTATCTCCAGAATCTATCTTACATATCTATAAGTCTCCTATTCGTCCATAGTTCGAAACATTACTGCTACGTATGGACCGATGCTCTATCTATATAATTTTAGAGATTCTTGATAAAATCCAAAGAAGAATAAGCAATATAATTAGTCCTGACCTGGCGCTTCGGTTTCAATTTCTTCCTACCATTGTAAAGTTGTTTCCCTGTGCCTTTTCTATAAATATATTTGTGGTAATTGTTCGGATCGGCTCCTAACTATGATAACTAAACATCATTAATTTAAGCACAGTACTAGATTGGTCTCATCTAAGTAACTTAGCTAACTGTAATTGTAAATTCTATGCTAACAGTTTTTTCTCGCACTTCCCTCTTGTGGAACTCGCTTCTGACTCCGAGCTTCCCAGCCAAGTTTGAGCTTCAAAAATGTCAATCGTTTTCTATCTTCCTGATCACTCTTCTATTGTTCTCTCTCTTTAATGTTTCTGTGTTCTAACTCTTACACAGCTATTAACTCCTTGTGTCTTAGTGGATTCACTATCTTACTTGGGGTAAATTCGATTTTTTTTAACAAAAGTGAACGGGTAATTAATTTATTAGGAGAATCACCTTCCGGTTACAGACATACCTGCCTAAACATTTGTAGCAAACTTACGTTACCTCTATAATTAAATGTTATATAGTTCAATATACTGGAGTGTAAGTAATTAGAAAATAACAGATTTAAATTCGCAGACATTTGTAGCAAAGTTCTGCAACAGAATCCAAATATTGAAATGATCAGTGAAAATCATAATGCAGTTTATCTTTATATGAGCCGTAATAGTTTCGTGGGTATTCTAACGCAGCTTTATGATTATAACAACCAAGATTGGGATACTAGTTCAAACAGATGAACCTGCAACAGAGATTATTCCTTGAAGATTATCGAATCCAGCACTCCTTTGAAAAAGCCTCGTGAATAAAACGATTAAATGATTACAATTGTAACAACCAAGATGAGGATTATAAGCTAATATCTTACATTACCGAATCGGGAAAATACTGACGAAGGCTAGAGGATACAACAACCGAAACGTCACGATGGCAACAACAAATATGATGATTATAATCTAAATCAGTTAATCTAAAAAAAAAAAAAAAGGATCTACGTTCTGCTATTATCTGGGGCAAGAAATGACTTCTTAATTTTAAGGTCAACCTAAACGTAATCTGAGATAAACATTTTTACCATCCATCAGCTATCCTCCAGGAGAGTGATTCACTGCGCTTTCTCAGAATAACGATTTCCGCTAACATGAAGTTAAAAAAATTATACTGAATCAATTGCTAATCCTGCTGCTTGGAAGGTTGGTGCTAGAAGTTTTTTTCTCGCCAAAATCTATCTTACATATATATATATATATATATATATATATATATATATATATATATATATATATATAAGTCTATCAATCGTCCTTGCATTGAATACTGCTACCATGTCTGGTCTGGTCTGGTGTCTATTTACAGTTTTTTGATAAAATCCGTTGAAGAACCTGCAATGTTATTGGTCATGATCTTTCATATCGCCTTCAATAACTTTCCTACTACCGTAATATAGCTTCTAATTTGTTCCTTTTCTATAAACATTTTCATGGTAATTGTTCTGGCAAACTTTCATCTGTGGTACCTAGACTTTATGAATTTAAACGCAGTACTGGATTGACGGTAGAGTCTCATCATTTTACAGTTGAGATAGCTAACCCATTTGCATATAAATGTCTATAAAGTTCTATGTTAAAGATTTATTCTATCGCACTTCTCCCTTGTGTAAATCTTTTTCGGCTTTTTGCTTTCGAAGCGACTTTGAATTTCAAAAATGTAAATGCAATGTCAATCGATTTTTGTCTTAATTATTATCTTTTTGTTCTCTTTCCTTGATAATGATTATTTTTCTCATATTCACTAGCATTCAGTAACTACTTGCGTCTCAGTGGATTCATTGCCTTGCTTGAGGTGATTAAAATATAGATTAACGTAAAACGATAATTTCTAGGTGACTGATGAAGGCTCAAGGGTACAAAATTTGATTAGGATTGATTTGTTTTATGGCATATCAATTTCTTATGGGTCATTTAATGCCGAAATTTAATTTTCTTGGGAGCATATGTATGGCTGAAAATTTGTTTTTAATTTTATAGCTGGCTTGCTGCCGGTTGTAGTTTATCGTTTTCGTGGTGTCCTCCCTCTTAAGAGCCTAACTTAGACTCTTCCGCCTCCTATAAGATTGGTTGGAGAGCAGGCTTCGGAGAACAGTCGAATAGATTGTTCAACTGTCGAACTCTCTGCCACGACTCGGACGAAGCTTTGCCGTAGGACAAACTTTCGTCCGGGGGGGGGGGGGGGTAGACAGTCCCTGAACCCGTTTAGGCGAGTTCAAAGGGAATATTTTTGTCCGAGCCTACAGGCTAGGAGAAACCCACGTTAAACTCGGCCTTGTACCACATACATTCCTTGTGGGAGGGACTGTTAAATATGACAGTGAATAATTTGAGCGCTAGTTCATTCGACACACTCTCACTAGTCATGTAATTATCTTCTCGTGTACTTACCGTTTAATATACGATATATCTGCAAACTTAGTTTTTGTTATCATTTAACCATTTACTTGGTCGCAACAATCGTCATCACCAGGACAAACAAGGACACATGGAATCAAACATTGCATCTATAACCAGCAATTTCATAATCTTCGAATAAATTAGCTGACAATGAATTTGCTCCTTACTAGCTGGCTTACGACCATATCGCGTTGAAATAACGGTTCTCATACGATAGATGCGTGACTGCTTAGGAATGCCAAGTGTTGTAACCTTAGACGTTGTGTCAATGGATAATAACTCGAAATAGTTAATCGAAGAGCCGAGTTCCAGTTTCAGTCAGGTTCGATGTATTCACTTACGCACAAATATCCTCGGGAAAGGTATGAATCCAACTCTTCTCCCCGAGCTATGGGTTAATTAGTAGGACTTGTATCACTAAAACATTATTATCTCCAAATAACTCATACAATTTAAAAAATATTTTCTGTTTCTGAATAAACAATCAATCTATAATATTTAGAGCATGGCTGTTTACCAATAAAAGGTGTCCACATCCAAAACAAAATCTGACAATAAATAGAGATAAAATTCCTTGACGTGAAAAACTATCTAATTCGTCATGAAATGGCCCATAAGGTTGTTGTACCGGTAAACAATAACTTACCGTACCTTAATAGTTGGTCCTATAATATTAGAGCTAGGGGACTTACCAGTCGGCAGTGTTCAGAATACGCCGAGTACATATCCAGAATTGACTCATTACCCAAGTAAATAGAAGTAAATCGTTACGCCTGTCGTTCGGTTCACACCCCTCACCGGTCTTTTGAACAGAAGTAGAAATTCATCCTTTGTTTCCTGTTTAGGATTGGGTTTCCAGTCCCCTCTAAAGTCTTCTCATTCTCTCTCACTCCCGATAACATCTTGCATCTTATTGGCAATTTCGTCTTATAAATATGCTTTATAATGGCTATAATATATTATACTATAAACAGACAATATTCACCTATAACCAACGCAAGTAAATGAGACAAAGATTCAAATATAAATGACCATTTCTTGGTTGTCCTCGTACTAAGTAAAAAAATAAATAAACGACCAATATTTCCTTATCATTGAATCAAGTGTTATTGGTTTGATTTAGATTGTTTTACGGCGTATCAACCTCAATGGGTTATTTTTTATTTCAAAAATATATTGCTAATAATATTTTTTTTTCAAAAATGTATTGATGGTTTTTTTTCTTAAATGTATTGCTGGTATCCAACCCTATTTTTACACTTTCATGGTGTTTTGACACCAGCTTGGAGGGTAAACTACGTTCCCATATCAGGGACTCTAACAGGTGCTACCAACCCATGTAAGGATGGACCTGGGAACACCAACAATTAAGAAGTGGTTCCACACTCCTCAAAACTTCCGAATCAGTGACCTTCCTGCTGGATGAAGTTTATCATCATACCCAGGACGCGGATGTATTTTATCGTCAGACCCAGGACGCCTCATTGTCAGGGGTAGTATTACCCCACTGCAATGTGCAGTTAGCGTATTCTGAAATCCCAGCCGACAGAAAAAGTAAAGTGTCATGTTTAATGGATGCCAGTTATCAGTTATCTCCTGTTAATTCCCCTCTCCAAGTTCTCCACTGCCTTAAGCGGGTATTGAACTCATGCTCTTTGGGTCCTGTCACTGAATCTAACTAACGCCTTTATCATTGTGCCATGTCTCCTTGAAGACACATGGCACAGTGGAACTAGAACAGTCTACCCCAGTGAGCGAAATAAAGGGTTCAGTTCGACATTCCAACTACCTGAAGAAGCGGCCGAAACGTTGTAATAAATATGGCGACAAAGTTGAGGACAATAGTCCGAATAATGTAAATAATGTACATAATACCTCTCGCAGAAATATAGACAGATGTTGCTTTTTTTATTCAAAAAAAATACGGTGACATACTGTCGATGATAAAAACAAACAGACAAATGAATATATTGCTTTGTATAGGAATAATATTTCCAGATTCCTGATTTGTTCAATCCGTTTTACCTGTGGGTATCGAATCACATATCTCACTAGTGTTGTTCGGATGATTTAATCATGTCGCCGTCGTTGAAATGTGATTCATAATAACCTGAGATTGGGATGTTATCCACGTGGGCAAAACGAAAAATATTATAAATTTTCTTAAAACGGCTTTGATATAATTAAACTAGAGAAACATACATACAGACACATAGACAAAGAAAAAAATGAGAATATTGTAATGAATCGATCTATACGTGCATCTGCAAATTGTACTTTATTTGAAAGAAAAAGACGGACCGAATTTGACAAATCACAAATAGGAGGATTTCTTCATAGGATTACTGTTTACGTCACTTGTTTATTATTATTATTATTATTATTATTATTATTATTATTGTAGTTGATGATATTATTATTATTATTATTATTAATTATAATAATAATAATGGTAATTTTTCCTGGAATCGAACAAATCGGAATTTACTTTCATATTCGTTATTAGATAAAGTAAAAATGTAACAAAAAAAAAACAAATGTAATTGATTGAAAATTTTCTGTCAGACAATTTGCTAATGCCCCTTGCAAGGTTATTTTCAAAACAAATACTACCAAAAATATTAGAGGTAAATTTTCAAGGTCAGCCCTCATCTTACCTGCCCTTTCTATCTATTCACCTCTTTCCACTCCCCCTCTCTCTCTCTCTCTAACTATCTCCTCCCTCTCTCTCTCTCTCTCTATCAATATCCTCTCTCCCCCTCTCTCTCTATCTCCTATCTCTCCTCTCTGTCTATTTCAATCTATCGATCTCATCATCTCTCTCTATCTATCTCCTCTCCTCTCTCTCTGTCTCTTTATATATCTCTTCTCGCCCCCCCTCTCTCTCTCTCTCTCTACCTATCACCTCTCTCTCTCTCTCTCTCTCTCTCATATATATATATATATATATATATATATATATATATATCAAATGGTGCATTGCTATCTTAACTGAGCTGGAGCTGCCTAATTCCCACTTTACAACCATAACAGATTTCAAAATCGTTTATGTGGTCTTGTAGGGCATGACATATTTTCCAATCTACAGCCTCTTTCCTCACAGTCGCAACGTCAAAGGTCTACTGTTAATCTATCCTAATTCCAGAGCAAATATTCAGACGAGTTTCATTGTTTAATTCTACCCCTTCAGACCTTTACATTTACTGGACGCAATTCTGTGTCAACGGAGTCATAGTATCCCTCCATTCCATTCAGTTTTAAAGAGGAAGTTAGACGATTACTTCGGATCAGATTACGACGTTGTTGCTCCACTGAACCTAACCTCTTAAAATCAAGGATCAATATTTCTCTGTCTTACTTATCCTGATAAGTTTTCCTTCCTGCTTCCTCATCTTACATTCATATCACACATTCAGTAGACCTCTACCATGTGTGACTTTTCAGCCTTGAGTGAACATTAGTAAAAAAAAATCTTATTTCATTTCTTTTAATATCTTAAATGTCCGAAAGACTTAAAATATTAAGATACCTCCAATATTACAAATATATTATTTAGATATGCTACGCTTCCATAGAGTCACTACTGAAAGTGATATACGCCGATCACGAACACATAAATAAATTTTTAATGTATTTTATTTCAGTTGATGGAAGCCACCCTCGAACCCAAGTAACATTAGCGTTGTGTGTGAGGGTCCGCTACCCAGATAAATGCCATTTGAGAAACTAAACAGATGATGACCTGCAGTATTCAAATTAGAACTTTGCGGGTGGGGGGGGGGTTAAATCTTGCTTTCTACTGGAGCCGTTCTTTTATTAGATTCGATGCGTGTTGGGTTGCTTGTTGGATTTCAAGAGGGAGACAACAATATTCCAACGATTTCATAAACTACTGACTTTATTCACACACGATTTAGGAAATTTACAAGGACAACTGGATGAACATGGACCTCCCATACGAAACTCATCTTGTGGATATCTTCACCTCTTCTTGAATGGACTACACCAGACAGATACCCTGTTCCTATCAATTATATACTCACCATAGGTAGTTACACGTTTACGGTAAATTTCTGTTGGATCTTTGCTCTCCTCATGCAAAAATCTTATTACACCTCGCATCTCTATGTTTCTGTCATTAACACTATTAACATCGTTCAGACTGTTGTCATTATTGCTATATTAATGACGTTTCGGCCGGTGTACGCAGCGGCCTCTTCAGGTGATATAATTTGGAATTTCGAAACGAACCCTACATTCAGTCCACCTAGCTAGAGTGTTCTAATTCCAGGTGACATGCTTTTGGATAGCTCAATATTAGTTAATTCTCCTTATTAAATCAACTATCCAAGATTTTGTTCCCTCTACTGTGGCCACAACTATTTAGTCAGTATTTGGATCAATCAACCAACGCTTTTACCCACTGGGTATGTGGAATTAAAACGCTCTACCTCTGTGAACTAAATAAAATCTATCGATTCGAAATTCGAACGTGTCTCACCTGAAGAATGTCGGAGTATATGTATATCTGGCCATGCTATGTATTCGAGGATACCTATCTACTAGGGCGGCTAGATAATCCTTATTGCATACACTTGTTCAGGCGCATTTGTGGTTATTCAACACTCACAGAGCCAACCTGTGGTTTATATTGCAACTATGCCGAGCAGATCTTAGTTAAAGTTTCTAGGAAAGAGCGTGTTATCTATTTTAACAAGACCAGCACGCTCAAGCCCTCGGCCATGATGACTTGAGACTTCGCGCTATCAGAGCTATCTACGGCACCCAAGGATTACGTCTACCCGCGGTATGGATTTCAGGCACTTTCCCAAGGTGCCGCCCGATGGGTCGACCCCTCTAGTCCGATAACATCAGGAAGTCTCCTTCCCGACAAATCGACCATGATGAGATTCGAACCCGGGTCTCATTGCCAGAATGCGACCGTTCTAACCATTCGGCCGAAACGTAATAGGGTAATGAAGATGAAGACATACAGTCCGAACGAGTAGATAGTAGAAATGTGTCGTACTAAATTGATAACTGAATATCGATATCAACTCAGGATGGACGGAAGAAATTTCGAACATCTTTTCTTTCTTTTTTTTAAATATAACTGACCTTTTTGTTTTGTATTTTCCTCGTTGCGTACATGTCTGAATGTCTCACGCTCACCTCCCCGAAAGAATGTCTTTGCGACTACTCGGCCTCACATTAACTGCTGACCTGAGATGGAACAAATACATTGAGTCAATAGCTTCGTCCACCGCAAGGAAAGTTGGCTCCCTGTGCCGCGCCAGGAAATTTCTCTTGCCAGATTCGATCTTTCAAATCTACAAATCAACCATTCGCCCTTGCATGGAGTATTGCTGCCATATATTGTCTGGTGCTCCTTATGTTTGTCTCAAGCTTCTTGATAAGATCCAGAGACGGATATGCAATATAATTGGCCCTGATCTGGCATCTCGTCTGCAGTCGCTCTCTCACAGACGTGCCGTCGCCTCCCTCTGTCTTTTTACAAAAACTTTCATTGTAACTGCTCCGATGAGCTGCTTTTGCTGGTTCCTAATTTAAGCGTTCTACTAGGCTGTCATCTCGCTCACACCCTTTCACTGTCGAAACTGTTAAATGTCTCTTTTACTCCAATAGCTTCATGTCTCGCATCTCTCGCCTGTGGAACTCCCTCTCCTCTTCCTGCTCCTCTGATAGCTATAATCTCCAACTATTCAAATGTAATGTCAATCGAAGTCTCCAGATGCGCTGATTTATCCCCTATCCTTCTCTTCATCCTTTCCTCTATCACTCCTATTTGCTCTAGCTCCAACTCACTGTAACCCCTTGCCTGCTAATGGTTTCCTGCCTTGCGTGGGGGTGAAATGCTTAAAAAATGCTATGTATATAGTATTCTTAGCCGCCTTCTCTAGAACAACGTTTCTATTGCCTCGAGTCTCTTCTTCATTCATGAAGAAATAGTCTAACATTCAGGGGCATGTAGCAGGATTGATATTAAGTAGCAGTCCAACACTCTTTTCATCGTTTCTAAAGAATTTACTCAGCCCCACTGTTCCTATCTTACCTTCAATATATCATGTAAGCATCAAATTCTCCGAGCCATCTTTCTTCATTATGTGTCCCCAAAATTTCAACTGTCTCTTTATAATTTTTTTGTACGGGTACGCCTTTTTGGATTTTTCCTAAAGCCTCCTTCTTGTTCACATAATCCATCCATGGTATTCTCAGCATCCTTCTGTAGAACTACATCTTTGTTCTCTTAAGTCTCCTCTTCATCTCTAACGAAATTCCTCAGCATTCGCTGCCATATAAGTGGACTGATATAACGTAGCAGTTTCAGTTCGGCACTTTTTATTCATAAGAATATTTTCCTGTTTCTTTATACTTTGCTAAGTTTTTGAAAGGCGTAGCAATCGATAATAAACTATTTCTCTTTATGTTTTGTGGGAAAAAACCTATCCAACAGATTTGGATCATATGAGTACAAGATAATCTAAGCAGCGTCTCATCGAGAAGAGACGGCAAAATCAGTTTTTTAATTCTTACTGTCGGAAAATAATATTTGGACGTTCGGCTATACCAAACGGAACTATTTCGATCTTTTATTAGATTCGCTTAGACACGACACGTCTAGAATCATGCAGGTCGTAATTTTATAAATAATCAATTCAAATCGATACAAGGAAATATAATGAAAACGTAAGAAACAGTGATTCTAGATTTAAAAAAGTGAAATATTTCGCAGGATTAAATAAAACTATTTTAAATCAATACAAAATGTTTGGATCGGATTCTTTTTGCATTATTTTGGTAAAAAAATAAAATGAAAGAAAGAAAAGTTACCGACAAAATACGCCATAATGACTTAAACAGAAACTTACGTAATTAAACAAAGTACGATTCGAATTAAGGATGGTTTTATATGAAATAAGAGCTTCCTTCGGCTCATATGACACTAGTCAGGCACAGAGCGGAAAATTAAGAAAAATAATTGATAGGAATTATGTTTAAGTAATGTTATTTCTACTTTATTCATTCAGTAATATAATCATGGAACTGAACGACAACTCAGCGACTCGGTCAGATTTGAATACAATTCAAAGTCAAGATGGCTGCTGTCATAGTGAAAGAAGCCTTTCAGAAATAAAAGTAATAAGCAACAAGGAATTTTCGTTAAAGAAAGAAGTTCTGAACTTTTATGGCATATCTATCCTCTAGTTCTTGTTTAGACAAGAACTGTTCTTTGGTCATTTTTTGGCGACCATTGAAATACAAATCATTCAGATAGAAAAGAACTGAGGCAAATTTCAAGGGATATTCATCATCAGGACAAGAATACAGTTGTTTACTGATACACTGATAAAAAATATTGTCCACATCTAAGCCAAAACCCTATCTCAATAAGATTCTGTGTTACGCCTAAAATAGTTTCGTCTAATTATAAAAACAATTGGGGAGGTTGTTTCAGGGATTAATTTTTGTATATTAGCATTCCTTCGACCTTCATGAATCGAAAGAGACATGATCTCCCAAGCGTGTATCACGGATGGCATTTAACTGACTGACTGACACTAAAAGGTACCTGAACAGAAGCATATGTCGTAAACATAAGAATAAAAAAGCAACACTATATTATATTCGATAGTCTGTAAGTTTTATTTGCGAGACTTGTTAGAAATTTACGATTGTGATACGTCTGTGCCACCATGCATTAATAATTTCTTCATAATTAAGGAGAGAAAGAAAAATCGAGGCCAGAAAGTAAAGAGTGTTTCAAATGAATGGTCATTTCTTTTGTTTGTTATTTCTAATATCGCATATTTGTACAATGGAAATTTTCTAACACCTTCGGGCTGAACACAAACGAAATAGGAACGCGGAGAAAGAGAGGAGAACGAGAGAGAAACACCGAAGTGAGAGAGGCAGACGGAGATTTAGTCGGGAGGATTAGATAAAGACAGGAAAAAGAAATTAAAAAAAGATTGGGCTGACGATGAGAAAAGGCGAGAGAGCAAGAAGAATCGAAATAGAAAGACAGGAACATATAGAGAGAAGGGAAAAGAGAAAAGTAAACGGTCGAATGGGAAGGATAGATAAGAAAAGAGAAAGGAGAGATTTAGAGAGAAAAATCAAACTTTAGGGCTATTTTTTTTTTCTTTTTTTAAGCATTACGCCCCGAGCGAGGCGTGAAGCCACTAGGATGCAGGGGGTTGCAGAAGATTTGGAGCAAAAGCAGATAGGAGTGATAGAAGAAAGGATGAGGAGAGGGATAGTGGATAGATCAAGGCAACTGGAGATGTCGATTGACATTACATTTGAATATTTGGAGATTATAGCCCTGAAGGAAACAGTAATTGGGAAGGGTGTTCCACAGGCGAGTGGTGCGAGGTATGAAGCTATTGGAGTAGAAGAGACGGCTACATTTAAAAGTTTCTACAGTGTAAGGGTGAGAGCGGAATGCCAGCCTCGTAGGGCGCTTGAATTTATGGAGTCTGGGAACCAGTGAAAGCAGCTCATCGGAGCAATTACCATGAAAGTATGTGTAGAAAAGACAGAGAGAGGCGACGCCGCGTCTGTGAGAGAGTGACTGTAGACGAAATGCAAGGTCAGGGCCAATTATATTACATATCCGTCTCTGGATCTTGTCAAGAACTCCGAGGTAAACAGAAGGTGCCCCAGACCATATATGGCAGCAATCCTACATGCAATGGCCACTGGTTGATTTGTATATTTGAAGTATCGATTCCGGGGAGAAAAATTTCCTCGCGGTGGACGAAGCAATTGACTCAATGTATTTGTTCCATCTCAGGTCAGCCGTCAACGTGAGACCGAGTAGACGCAGAGAGTTGCTCTCAAGAAGTTGACTATCAGACATTCTAATGGGGGGGAGGAAAGGATCTCTATGGTGATTAATAGAGAGTAGTTTAGTTTTTGAGGCGTTAAAGTTGACCAGCCAATTCTTGCCCCAATTAACAACCGATTGGAGGTCCATTTCAAGACGCACGGCCAGCTTAGTTTTGTCACCGACACTGGATTTGTTTTTGAGGCAGGAGTAAATTGTGGTGTCGTCCGCGTAGATGCTAACTTGGGAATCTATGGCGTCAGGAAGGTCGTTGATGAAAATAAGGAATAGAGTGGGGCCAATGATGGAGCCTTCGGAAACACCTGCGTTCGTGGGATAGGAACTGGAGGAGAATCCGTTAAGAACGACCTTCAATTCACGGTTTGACAGGAATGGTTGTATTAGGTCAAACAATCGACCTGTAATATCATAACCCTGGAGCTTGCGAAGAAGGCCGGCATGCCAAACCCTATCAAACGCTTTGGAAATGTCTAGGGCCACGGCACGAGCCTCACCGTTATTTTGAAGGGCTTGGTAGACGGTTTCAGTGATGGCCGTAAGCACATCAGCTGTAGATCGGGCGTAGCGGAAAGCATATTGCTTGTCTGAGAGCAGATCATGGGATGTAAGGTGGTTAACCACTTCGGCATTGATTAAAGCTTCGAAGACTTTGCCGAAGAGGGGTAGGAGACAAATAGGACGGTAATTAGAGGGGTCAGAGGGGTCTCCAAAGTTCTTAGACAGGAAAAATGGATGAGGACTTCCAGCAGTCAGGAAAACAGGATTCCTTGAGGCAGTAATTATATAGTTTAGAGAGGGCGGGCACTAGCTCAGGCGCGCATTTCTTCAAGACAATGGCTGGTATGCCATCTCCACTACTAGCCTTGTGGGGGTCTAAATTGGAGATAATGCCCAATACCAATGACGGGGTTATGTTTAACCTGCTCAATAGGGCCTCAGTTTTTAGAGGGAAGTCTAGTATGGGTACACCGGAGGAGTCGAGCGTTGAATTAAATGAGAATTTCCGAGCAAAGCATTCAGCCTTGTCGGTAAAGGAGGTCAGGACCTCGAACTGGTTGAAGAAAGAAGGTATGGAGGGTTTTCTATTGTTCAGGACGCTCTTGCAGAGCCGCCAATAATCTTTGGAGCCAAATTTGCAAGATGCAATGCGCTCCTTCATCCGAGCAGCAATATTGACTTAGCTTCGTTGAGGACACGCTTACACTCGTTACGGGCGGAGACGTCTATTGAAGTCCGACATGTCGCTACGAAATAGGTGAAAGAAGTGGTTCCTATGGGCAATGGCGGCTGAACAAGCAACGGAGAACCAAGGGGAAGAGTGCGACTTGACCTTAAATTTCCTTGAGGGGATGAAAGCGTCGATTCCAGCTTTAACCCAGGATGAGACCTCAAAAGCACATTCTTGGACAGGGAGTGTAAAGACAACATCCCAGGGGACATCGCGGAGGAAGTCACGGAACGAGTCCCAATCCGCTCGTTGATAGTAGAACGAGGTTCTAGTGATGGAAGATTCTTTGTGGGGTGTGGAGTTGAAGGAAATGTTAACAGATACTACAGCATTATCTGAGTTACCAAGAGAGCAGAGCTGCGTGGCGCTACAAGATTCAGGGATGAAGGTAAAACACAGATCGAGAAGGGAGGCCTTACCTACCAGGTTGAGCGCAAAACGCGTGGGAAAGTTAACTATCTGCGTGAGGGATTGAGAAATTGAGAAATTAAGTGTTTAAATGCCTGCCCGGTCAGTAGTAGCATTCTCGAGCCACTTGGTATGATGGGCGTTAAAGTCACCAAACACGAATATATGAGCAAACGGGTGGAGAGAGAGGGCCTTGTCTATGCTGTCAGATATGCTATCGAGTATCCCACAGTCTTGAGAGGATGGAGAGCGATAGAGGAAGAAGAGGTAGCTTACGGTATTGAGGAGAGATGGTCGGAGACACATGTACGAATGGTCTGGCGATTCGAGAGACAACTCTCTGGCCAGAGGGAAATGGTCCTTGATATAGACACCAAGGCCGTGCATGTGGGTTAGAGAGTCTTTCCTGAGAAGAGGAAGGTAGCCGGTGATCGAGAGATCAGAGGAGAGAATAGACGAGACAATGTTTGTCTCACACAGAGCTAGTATATCCGGGCAGTTTGCAGTGAGGAAAGACTCCATACTGCAGAAATTTGTTCTAATGCCTCGGATGTTGGAGAACGAAATATTGAGTGGTTTAGGTGATTTTTGAGGGGCTGGTTTAGGATTACTTTTTGAGTTCTTTTGAGTCTTCATGTGGAGTAATTGTTGGAAGATAAGAAGGCCTGAAGTAAGAGAAGCAAATGGTTTTCGACTGCGACATGAGCAGAGAGGAGTTGGCACAGCCTGCATCATAATGTGGCCTCAGGGTTGCCCACTGGAAGTGACTGCAGGGACACCTTTCCATGCGCATCATGGCACTACAAACACCCAGGTATTATACAACTGTTGATCAGAGCGGACGCTATGCAAGAGTTAGGGCTCCTAACTACTAGTTGGAAACAGCAACCAGTGAACTGTCAACCGTGTACCCTCAAAATGAAGAGGCAATGCCACAGACTGCACACGTCACGGGAGAAACACATCAGCACTAGTACAGAGGCCAGAGAGAGAGAGAGAGAGAGAGAGAGAGAGAATCCCGGGAACCCCTTCTTAGACAAGAAACAAGGTGTGAGCATCTGCTCATGTCCAGGAGAAGGGGGGTGTTGACTGGGCGGTAGGAGGACCTACCTATTACATATAACACATACAACAACGACAAAAAACAAACAGAGAGATAAGGGCGTGGAAGTAGTTGACATAGTGCCCAGGCTGACACTAGGTGTATGTGTGACGTCGCCCCCCCCCCCTGGTCGCAGTGTCGACTCTGTCGTTCGATCTCGTTCGCAGCACTAGTTGTGACGTCACGTGCTCTCCAGGCTCTGATATCCTGGTCACGGACAGCACCAGTTGTGACGTCGTTTGGTCTAGTGTTGATCCTGGTCGCGGCGCCGATTGTGACGTCTTTGCCGCGACGTCAGCTGTTCGCTCCTCGCTGCTCCAAGTGTGACGTTCTAACCCTCTGGCTAGATGAATACCAGCCTCGTCGTTCCCAACTCGCTTTCAACACCTGGTTACTAGGGTAACTGTACTGATCTCCGGTCTGCCTACCCACGTTGTGATTAGATCTTAGACAGACTGGATCAAACAGGGATTGGTGCCGTAAGCTAGCTAAGTTCAACGGGGGTGGTAACACACAAGAAAAGAAAAAACTCACAAGGTCAAAAATTATTGAAAAGAAAAGGTGACAACCTTTTATATCTAAATGTTCGTTACATAAAATTGTTCCTACCTCCCGACCCGTTTTATGGACTATGGCACCAAGCTTCTACCATACAACTTAGAGACTTCGAGTTGCTTATTCTCTAGAAATTTGCATTTCGGGGTGTGGTTTGGTTTCAACACTGGGCGCTGATTTCTGCCTGTTGTTCACGGCTGATCTCCCTCGACGTCAGTGCGCGAATTAACTTCTCTTCTGCTTCGGGTGGACGAATCTATTCACTTCGACTTGAGTTGGGCGAATTTCTTTTCTTAGGCTTGGTTTGATTCCAACTTCTCTAGGCGCAACTGCAAGTTAACTTCTTCTTCGTCTGAGGCGCAAACCCAACTCCTGCAACTCTTCTGCCGTCCGCTCTGCAACTCCGCTCCGCAACTCCGCTCCAACTCTTCTGCCTGTCCGCTCTGCAACTCTTCTGCCTGTCCGCCCTGCAACTCTTCTTGCCGTCCGCTCTGCAACTCTTCTGCCTGTCTGCTCTGCAACTTTAACTTCTCTGCGGCTTTCGGGCTGCAACTCCAACTTCTCTGCGGCTTTCGAGCAATTTTCTTCTCTTCGACTTGGGCTGGACGAATTTCTTCACTCCGGATTCTCTTGCCCGCAAGGGGGCGAATGAACCGGGCCCGCCGCCCGCGTTCAAGCTCCCTCGCTGTCCGCCCTGCAACTGATGTCTGTCGATTGGGGTCCTGCTTATATTGACGCCGTAACAAACTGGGGTGGGTCTGTCGGCGCCAGGGTTTTCTTGATAATTCCAAAGTCGTATTATTTCTGATTTCCCATTATCGCTCTTACTTTCACTCCTACTTCCTTACAGTGCTTCTGGGGGGAGGCGCATACCCGCTTCCCCTGGTCTCTCGTATGTCAGGTGACCGCTCTCGACCAATGAGGTCCTGGTCGAGCATCTTTCCTCCTCCCTCGCACATCACGTGACCGCTCTCGGTCAATGAGACTCTAGTCGGGTGTTTCTCCTCCTCCCTCATGCATCATGTGACTGCCCTCGGCCAATGAGATTCTGGTTGGTATCTTCCCTCCTTCCTTCGTGACGTCTCCAATCGGGCGTGGACAATCCGTGGCTTTGTTCTGGGGAAGAAACACCTTGCTAAAAAAACAAAATTTAAATTGTCCTTTTTTCGTACGAAAATGACAATCCCGGTTTATTGTCAAAACAGCCTGACGCTAATTAGATGTGACTTAAAGAAAGAATTTTTCCGACCTATTCGGCGTCTTCTGCGAGCTGAAACAATTGTTTCACCTCTTTCTTTCGCTCGGGGCCTGTTAACAAAATCTTGAAAATATTCTCCACTCATCATCGTGGGTGATTCTTATCTTCAACCCTAGAAATGGTCAGGGTTCGTGCATCAATGTTTTGTTTTCGTATACATTTCCCCAGCGGTCAATGACACCCCACTCCGTTCGTTACCTATTAATATATTTTTTCCATTGTCCCTAAAATCTTATTTCTTCAACCAAATTGATAATAAACTCCCATACTCCGCGGACACGAAAGTAGGTCAGGTGCTCGACCGACATCTGTTATGTATCAATCGTGCCTGTGCCCATTCGTTTCGCGACCCCGGCTCGTTATCATGTTCCTGTCTTTCTCTTTCTTTCTTTTTATTATTTCTAAACTCTATTCCTTCAAATAACAATTTCTATTTTCGTGAATTTCGGTCAGGTACTTTGGCCTAGATATCTTTTAACACTTGTTTTGTTTAAGTTTTGTGTGCTTATGACCGGGTTTTTGTACTATCTATTTCTCTTTCCTTTTTTCTTTCTTTCTTTTCTTTTCTTCCTTCTTCTTTCCTTCGGATCGCCTAAATACAGTTAGAGAATTATTCTCAAAACTCAATTATTCTTCGTCTCTAAATAACTATTAACTGGTTAATAAACCGAATAAAAATAAATCATATATTTATGAATATCTCTATTCAGTTTTCTAATGATGCATGGTGCCACATATGTTCGGTAGGATAGGATAGAATTTATTAGTATTTTATCCTTACACAACACTAAGTTTTAACTTTGTGTAAGTCCCATTGTTGTATTCTAAAGAGAGAAATGAAAAATATGATTATCTACCTTTTTGCGGATATGGCATAAATGCTAGCTCACTTGTGGCAGTGGGTGATATTGGTAGTCCACATGCATTCTGATGGTCTCCAGTGAGTGTTCCACGTTAGTACATTTTATCAAGCAAAAGACAAGGCCACTGGACCATAAGAATATTGAAGACACACTAACGCCTGGTGAAGAGACATTTTTTTCCTTCTTTCGAGGGGGTGAGGATTTCCAACTACACAAACATATATGAGTTAGGTTAGAATGGTTAGACCAAGAATCAATGTTAAATGAATATGTTGGAATATATATATATATATATATATATATATATAGAGAGAGAGAGAGAGAGAGAGAGATGCTTTTGGATGCGTCTCTGGTAGAACGAAATTATACACACACATAACAGAAAGTGATTGTCCGCTTGCATTCTGATGGACGCCAGTGAGTGTACAGCCAACCCTATCTTAGTGCCCAAGCGTCAGGTTACAGGCAACGAAGTGTTGTTGGGGGGGAGGTCAGCAACCATTCCTACCCGCCACCAGCAGGGGGCTTGGGGAAAGTTGCTTTAATAAAATTTTAAACCACGAAGAGAAGTGAACGGCGGAAGAGGTAAACTGAAAGGGAGGGAAGAGAGAGAGTGTGTGTGTGTTTGTTTAACAGCATATCATCTCATTATGGGTCATTTCATTTCGAAATTTAATTTTCTTGGATTGTTTTTTTTTGTTGTTTTTTTTACTATTAGGTTGGTGCAAAAATAATGACGTAAGAATGTCGTTTTTTGACGTTAAAAAATACGTAATAAAACGACATTACTACGTCATTATTTTTGCACCAACCTAATATTAAAAATACACTTCGGGAGTTTATTATTCATCCCCTCGTGTCAGGGTGGACCTATGAACAATGATTAAGAGGTAGCTACAAGCCCCTCAAAACCTCCCGGTCATATACCTTGCTGCCGGATGTAGTTTATCATCATACCCTGGACGAAAAAAGAGAGAGAGCATTAATATTTCGATGGAAGAAGATGAAAAAGGTGTCGAGGAAAAGTGGTAGAATGAGGAGGAGAAGGGAATGGAAATTATAAATAAAAAATGGGAGGAGAAAGTATGGGTCAAAATATTAAAAAAAAGATATAGAAATAAAAGCTTCAAACTGAGAAATTGTTTTTTTTTTTATTATTAAACATCCATTGTTGCTATTTTTATACTTTCCTAAAGTTTTGACTGTTTATTTATATCCAGCTAGCTAGCTAGATAGATAGCTATCTGTTCATCTAGCTCAGTTTCTTCATATCCATGTATTTATAAGACTGTTATTGTCTCTGCATATTTATCTACCTATGTATCTATTGATGTCTTTTTCATATCTATCTATCTATCTATCTATCTATCTATCTATCTATCTATCTATCTATCTATCTACCAAACAAACAAAGAACTGGGAGGAATGAACGAATTTGTTTAATGAAAATGCATTGACCAATTTGTTCTAGACCAATTTGTTTAATTCAACACATCTAATTTTAAGCAAATCAACCAATAACCTGGCAACAATTTAATGAATATAGACATCTAAACATGGTCAATACGACCTGCTGAATTTTATTTCATGAATTCTCATGGGAAGAAATAGTAATATTAATGACTTTGAACGCGAGACTTTTGTGTCAGACGGGTCGACTTGAGCATTGTAAAAACTCCCGTCTTTTCAGAGAATATTCAGAAAATGTAAATCGTTGAGCGACACATCTGTGAGCAGAAATTCTTTGCTGATGAAAGTGGTCGAAGGTGACTGGTTTAAGCTGATAGACGACTGTAGCTCAAATAACCACTCGTGAACGGCTCAAGATATCTGAATGCAAAACACGTTGGACCAGCTACAGTAGGAGAAGGCAACATCAAGTGTCAGATCAGAAACTGGAGCTGCAGTTCGCTGAGGGTGACAAAACTGGACAATAAAAAAATTGGAAAAAAGGTCCCCTTGTCTGATGGTTCCAGATTTCTTCTGCTACATTCGGATTTCCATACTTAATACTTCTCGAATTCACTCTCGCGTGGTCATGTGTGACGTCATGAGCTGCGGTGCGATTTTCGCTTCCAGCGTCTTATATACACGTGTTTATCGTTGCTTGGAAATCATCCATGTAAACAGAAACAGACTATCATCACATTGTTGCTTAATAAATTGTACATTAATTGTCATCTTTGATAATGGCTTATGTAAGCCGAAAGCTTAGATTGGATTAAAAAAATATGGATCAATATTGTGATTTTCTTTCTTCGTTTAATGATAATGTTATTAAGTTTATCAGACGTTATGAAAAAAATTTACATAAAATAAATAGACAACACTTGTCTATATTATTTAATGAAATATGTATGAATATATATATATATATATATATATATATATATATATATATATATAGAGAGAGAGAGAGAGGTAGATAGATAGATAGACTTAATTATTAATATTTATGCATTTAATATATATATTAATTGTTACCATAGACACACACACACACACACACATACATACTTACATACATACATACATACAGACTTATTTATGTACATATTGAATTAACTGATTTACCAGAAAACGCACGCTAAATGATTTGCACGCTAAAATACACTCAACATTCAACCATTTCTAATTTGGGTCTTTTTTTCTCGTCCGTCTGCGTTCAAAAATAATTTCCGATGGAAAAAAACAAAAAAAAACAAATAAATAAATAAAACAAAATAAAATGTAGACGTCATTATCTCACAGCTACACACATCGTCAAAGGAGAACAAACTTTGTGTAGATTCACTTGTTGTAACTTACTAAACTTAGCTAAGTTTGACACAAGGGCGCAAGCACGGAGCACCTAGTAAGAATCGAACACACGCCACATAGTCAATCAAACGAGGTCTCCAGACATTATCCCATGCCGTAAATTGCTAGCTCTTTCCTTATCTCCTTCCTTTCTTCA